CGGGCTGAGGGGCCGGGCCGTGCCGAGACCCCCCCGGTGCGCCCTGCAGCCCGTGCCTGAGGAGTTGCTCCGGCGTTCCTCTACCCTGCGTTCTCTCTCGCTCTCCTCGCCAAGGACTCTCTGTCTAGGCTGTTCGCCCGCTGCGGGCACGTTCAGTCTGTGGACGTCTGCGAGAAGCCGGAGCCGGGAGAGAAAAAAGAAAAACTCACGTCCAAATTCTTCAACCGCAAAGCTGTAACGGTAAAGCTCGGCGAGCGGGGGGTGGGGAATGCTGGTGCTTCAGTGGCCAGAGCGGGAAAAGATCGCAAGAGCTGAATGGTGCTGTCTGGAACGTGAGACATGGCAGTACTGTTTGGGGGCATTGGGCAACGTGGTTACTTATTTAAGTTTACGTTGTCTTTTTTTGCTATCCCACTGTAACTTGTGGTTTGCTTTTTATTTGATGTGAATTTTACTTTATTTGTACTGTGACTTCCTGCTGCATTGCCAGTTTCCATGGTGTGTCTGACTGGCGCAGGTGTCTTTGTCTTTTAGGGATTTCAGGTAGCATACGTGGTGTTCAGGAAACCAGCGGGTGTCCAGGCAGCCAAGGCCCTGTCGCAGGAAGGTCCCTTGCTGATATCAACAGAGAGTCACCCCGTGAAAACCGGTGTTAGCAGTAAGTCAGCCCTACCTATCTTCCTGCAAGCTAACGCTAGGGAAGAACTACCCATTCCTTGCTGAATCCTACCATGTATGTCCCTGGTTAATGCTCACCATTTTGCGCTGAGCTGGGAGACATCCAGAGTTTCGTTGTCCTGCTTTTATTATTCACAGGGTAGCAGTCTTGTTGTACTGGATGTTGTGGTCTTGTCCAGTGACCGTATGGGAGATAGGATCACTTGGTACAACGGAAGGGCAGTTTTTCCCGACATCTTTTCAGTATCACATAGATTGAGAGAAACTGGCTGCGTCTTGCCCTCAAAACAGAATCCAGACTCAATAACAGGCCCTAGGTGTCTGTTAAGATGATAGCGCTTTGGATGTGACCCCTTGCCAGGAATGCAGCCCTGAATGTTGCACCTCTTGGGCCTAAGGCTAGCCCACTCCTGCTTGGGAAAGTTGCAAGCGCTTACTGGCTGTGAGTTGGTTGAGCTGTGGCAGTGGGGAGGCTGGACAGGAATGGGAACAAGTGTGTCTGTCTCCACAGCAGTTCTCTCTAGAGCCCCCCAAAGGCATCACACTAGGGCTTGCTTCTAACAGAGGCTACCGCTGACTTCTGCCCTCTCTGTCTTAGAGTGGATCGCCAACTATGTGGCCTCAGTCGTGGATCAAGAGGAGCTGAAGGCTGAGGTGGATGCCTACATGCAAGACTATGACAAAAAGATAGCAGAGGTGAGGCCAGGTTGGAGAGGAAACCCAGCTAAGCAGTTTGTTTGGGGAGGGGAAAGGAAGAGAGAGGATCTCTCGGTGACCAGGCCTTGGTGGAAAAGGCGGAGGGAAACACACTGCTGGCTGTCAAGGTTGTTTTACTCCCAGTTGCTGGTGGGCAGTCAGGCCCTGGTTTGGTCCGCAACACCTGACCCTACCACCTAGGGCTTACAGTAGGTATCCACAAATGAACTGGGTCCTGGCTGGCGTGCAGTATTGTGACAGAGAGCTGAATGCAGGCCCCCTTGGTCTCACACCTTCCTTCAAACCTTGTGGAGAAGCTGTAGCTTCGCGTGTGCGCTGGCTGGGGGACTGTGGGGAAGCCGTGCATGCGGGGGCCGGCAGCCCATCTCCACTGAGCTGCCTCACTCTCCTGTCTTTACAGGAAGAAGCCAAGGCGGCCAGGGAGGAGGGCGTTCCAGATGAGGAGGGCTGGGTGAAGGTGACGCGGAAGGGACGGAAGCCTGGCCTGCCCCGGACAGAGGCTGCCAGCCTGCTTGGGCTGGAGAGAGAGAAGCAGAAGAGAGCCCGCAAAGAGCTGCTCAACTTCTATGCCTGGCAGCATCGCGAGACCAAGAGAGAGCGTGAGTATCCTCGTCTCCTCCTGCCCCTGCCCTTGTCTCTTGTCTCTCACTGTGGCCCAGAAAGCGTCGTTTTTCCTTCAGTGGAGGCTACATCCAGCTGCAGGTGAACAGTTGGCTGGGTGGTTCTGGAAATGGCTTCACCAGCTCTTGGGGGCCCCTTGCCACCACCTGTCCTAGCAAGGGCTGCTGGAATATTCTGCGGCAGGGGGGCAGGGCGTGGGTTTCCAATAGATTTTGGAAATAGAGTCTGCATTAAGGCAGCAATTGGAAGGGAAAACCAGCCTGTTTCCTCCCCAAGGGGGAGCCGGAGCACTGCCGGAGATGAACGGCCAGAGCCCCAGCTTGGCGCTCAGCCCAGGCGCGCAAGGACCTGCTCTGGGAAATCTATTTGCAAGTGTCAGGATTGAGCCTCTACCGGTGCGTGGAAGTAAAGCTCCCCAGGAGAGGGAAGATTTGCTGCTCCTGTGTGACCTGTCCTCTTTCTTTCTGCCTGTTTCAGACATTGCCCAGTTGAGGAAGAAATTTGAGGAGGACAAGCAGAGAATCGCGCTGATGCGAGCCCAGCGCAAATTTCGGCCATACTGAGCTGTGCCGAGCTACTGCCTTGGATGCCTGTGGACTCCATGTGCCAAACGATTTCAAGGAATTGAGGCAGCTTCAGGTTGTCCCTGCCCTTGGGTCTGAAGTGGGAGATCCCAGCAACCACTGCTGGAGGAGGAGTTTCCGTCCCTCGCACCAGTATCGTTCTGCTTTCCCGACCATGGTTTGGCCTTATGGCACCACTTCCCAGGGTGCTCAGGTCAACGGGCTGAGGCCCTTCCTGGGACAGCCTGTACCTCCCTGCCACCCAAGGACCCCCTAAAGCTGCATGAGATCTGGGATTGATCTAGCACAGCCTCTGCAGGGGCAGGGAAATGCTGAAGAACTGTAAATAAGCTGCTGCTATGTTCTCAAAACAGAGGGGTGCCTCTCCCTCCCTCAGTCTGCTGTTAGGGACAGCTTCTTGTGTGCTGGGGTGGCAATTAAAGTCATGGCTCGTACATGTTCTCTGGGGTGAGTAAGAAGAGGAGGGAAGCAACCTTGGAAAAAGCCCAGCTGGGAAGTTCCCAGATCTGTTGCCACAAGCCAAGCTCAGTGGTGTGGTACAGAGCCCTACCCCTTGCCTTGGTGTTTCCCTCCCAGGCAGCTCCCTCTCAGTGGGCGTTGAGGTGCCCGGTTTTCCAGCTGTGTGGACCTCTACAGCCATGTCTAGCCTGGAGTATGGGAACTTCTGATGTTGAGCACCATCACTAGAACAAGGTGAGAGTGCAGCCTGGCTTTGGAGGGAGAAACCAGACTGTCCAAGGCCTGTTTCCACTTAACCTGTCACCAGCCTGCAGGAGGCAGGCAAGCATGGCGATGGGCACATCCAGCTGTGGGGCAATGCTTTTGTACTGCCAACATAACGTTTGTGCAGCCTCAGACTTAATGAATGTTCACCCCAGCGCACTCTGTCATCAGAAGGGGGCTGTAACCACCCACCCCCAGGCTTTTGTACATTTATTTTACTGCCTGCATCCTCAATACGGGCACGACTGCGAGTGTAAGGTGGAAATGCTGGTAGATTCTCCAGAGCTGTGTTAAAATAGATTTACTCTCTGCTAGGAAACCCACTGCAAATGCAGCTTCCATTGCATGGGGAGACTGCTAGGCCTGGTTGCTTCAGTTGGCATCAATTTAACTACAAAACCGATGGATCCTTAATATGCCCTGCATGTAAAAGCCACTGCCTCCTCAGACTGGTGTTTTAGCTGCTTGGGTGAGCATCCCAAGAGAAAGGAGGTTCATTCTCCTATACAGTCAAGAAGACAGAGTTAACATCAGGAGATTAATCTTTATTTAGAAGGACAGAAATCATCTCTGCCAACTCTTCCATTATTAGTTCTTGCAGCTGCTTCAGCTAAAGGATTAGTGACTCATTCCCTAGGAGTTCATTAAAATGGCCTTCTGGGCCCAGGTGAGCTCTTACTTAAGCTGATTTTTTTTAAAAAGCAGCAGCTCTCACAGTAGAACAGGGATACTTAGGCCCTCTGAGCTCAGACACCCATGGAAGCAAGCTGAGAAGCAGAACGCTTTCCTGCTTTTTCATTAGGACTAAACTTGGGAGGAGACTGGTCACACCATCCTCAGGGAGGAGCTAAGGTGAGCCACCTCTCTTGCAGTGCTGCAGCTGGCATTGCTGCTGCTCCCACAGAAGATGCCTCTGCCTGTATTCCTGCTCCATTTTGGGGTGCAAGTTAGGAGCAAGCAAGGGGAAGGCCACTCTGGGCCTCTATCCCTGTACTCAGAGCTAGAAGTGGAGGAAGGATTCCTTTTCACTTTGACAACTGAGATACTTTGCTCAGCTCTCCTCCAGGGACCCCTAGCAGCCCTGCTTCCACCCTGCAGTGAGCTCAGCTTAAGAAAGGGTATCGTGAAACTGATGTTGTATATGAGGCAGGAATAGTGGCAATTCCTCCAGAGCCTGCTATTTAGCTCCCTGTTCTCCTGGACTGCTGCAGCAGTGATCCTTCTTAGAGCCTGGCTCTGGCACTCTGCGCCATCAGGAAGTTGCTGATGATCCCAGACACCATCTCGGGCTCATTCAGGTGCACAAAATGATTCCCAGGCACCTCTACGAGCTGGATGTGCTGGAGGGAGAAGACACAAGAAGATGTGGACCAGGGAAGCGTTCCCTCAGCCAAGCTGTGTGGCACTCGGGGCAGGGGGGTGGCGAGGCAGGACAGGGATGGGAGGACTAGGGAAGAACTGGGTCTGGAGGGCAGTACTGACTTGGGACTTTGGCAGCAGGTGCAAAGCTGGCTTCCCCCCATGTGAGGGCTGTGCCATCCCGGACAAATCACTTCGTGGGGGGTGTCCACCAAGGTGAGCTGCTCCCAGGTTGGTGAGGCATAGAGTGGAGATGCAAGAATGGAGTTTGCTCTCACCTCTTTGAGGGTAGACTCAAACGCCTCCAGTAGGGCTTTTGCAAAGTAATGTTCGCTGTCTATCTTGTGCGGAGTCAAGAGTCCATCTTGTGCTCTGAAAAGCAAGAGCAGGGCTCAGTACAGCACACAGTGTGCCTCTGTTTGTCTTTGCCCCCGTCCTGGGCAGAAGCAGTGTCCCCAAGGCAGCTGGGCAACAGACCCACTACTCTTTCCAGGCTGCTTGTGAACAGCAGGGTTACAGGGTCATACATGGCAGGCAGAAGAGCACTGCACAGCTTGGCTAGGCAGCTATTTTCTGTCAAATTAAAATTTTGGGCGATTGCCTAATAGTATCAGAGTGGTTAAATATTGCTGAGTACATCATTCCCTGCCCCACACAGAATCACAGAATCACAGAATAGTAGGGGTTGGAAGGGACCTCTGTGGGTCATCTAGTCCAACCCCCCCGCCGAAGCAGGGTCACCTACAGCAGGCTGCACAGGATACTGTCTTCTGCTCTTGATTTTTTTCCTTCCAGCCAGCTTCCACATCTCCCCTCCATCCATTTCCCCACTCCAAGCTGCTGTTTTACACAGGGTATGCCCTGCTTGGAGAAGGAAGTACCAGGGCAGCCCTTCTGGAGAACCCAGCATTGGACCTCCTGGAGAGTTAAGATCATGCCATCTTCTGCTGTGGCACAAGTGATGGGACAGGGCGACATCCCAGGCTCAAAGGCATGGACTCTATATGGCCTGGTGGGCTTGTCCTCCTCACCTTGATGCTGCATTTCTGGACAAGCAGGAATATCCTTAAGCACACTGAGCTCCCCTCTTATGATTTCAACAGACCAGAGAAGCCAAAACTGCACCTGATTTCTCAACTTCCAGCACGTCCTCTCATTTCCTAGGGAGTCTTCCAACAGCACCACACAGGCCAAGGTAGCCAGAGCCCTGCACATCTTGCCCACCAAGGAGATGGAGAAAAATGCAGAGGACCTACAGAACCAGCTACACACCCAGACAGCTAATGGCTTTTTGGGCTCTATGCGAGCCCCACAGCTCCCCCCTGCCCCAGGCACCCAGGGGAGAGCTTGCAGGAGCTGGGTCTGGCCCAGGGGCTCCAGGACCAGCTGGAAGAGGCGGAAGCTGCTGTGATTTCACCTGTTTGCTCAGGTGAGAAGTTTTGGGATCTGGAGAAGGGGGCAGGCTGTGCTTCCTTGACTGCGGGAAGAGTCAGGCCAAGAGGAAAGGAAGCAGGAGTGGTGCTGTGGAGGGCTACGTGTTTGCAAGATGTCCCCTTGCTGTAGGGTCAAGGGACAGAAAGTCGTGGGATGGCAGCATGAAGGCAGGAGTGTGGGGAGGACAGGGCAGGTCGGGCATGTCCTCAGTCAGCCTTGCACCAGGCAGACCCAGCCTGAAAGCACAGCGCCAGGCCAGGAGGAGGACTTGCCAGCTGCTCTCTGCCTGCTCCAGGAGCCTGCCCAGCCCAGGGCAGTGGTGGGAAACTGCTTCTCACATGTGAGGCTGTACTGTTGTGCCAACTGGCCAGAAGGTCTGGGTGGCCACTGCAGAGGAGGGTGTAGCAGAACACTCCTTTCTAACCTTCATCCCCTCCAACCAGGGCTGCACAGAGGCTGCAAGGGTTGGTTTGGCTTATGCTTCACTCACACAATGATGAGAACGCGGTGCTGAGGCTTCTGCAGGAGCTTCACGCACTGCTCCACCGTGAGGGACTCTCGAATTTGCTGCAGGTGCAAAGACAGAGAGAGCAGCAAAGGTCAGGGACAGCAGCTGGGGGCAGAGGGTGTCCCCGACCCCTGCCGTGCTGGCAGCTCTGCAGCCCTGGAGCTGCCATGCTGGGACATGACAGGCGGCCAGGCTGCGCACAAGAGTAGCTGGCTCTGCAAAGGCTCCTTCTGTCCAGCTGCGCTTCAGGGCTGCCAACAACACTGCCTGCTGGGATGCAGCACGTATGGGAATGATCTCATAGCAGAGAAAAGCTTTAAAAATCCATTTACTGAAAAGGAGACAGTACGATACTCTGGCTTTCATAGCCTGGCAGTAGCACAGGTAGAGGAGGCCCTCCTTGCTCGAAAGTGGCACAAACCTATCAAAATATCAAACATAAGGAATTTGCGCTACTCTCCCTTTTTTATACGGGTGACCTGACAAAGAAGCTGACTGAAAGTATCCATCCATCTGCTGCCTGAAGAGTTATAACTGCAGGAAAATGTGGCCAGGAGGCCCTGGGGCAGAGGAACTGCTAAAAAAATCAGTAACATTTTCCAGTGACTCTGTAAGCTGAGTCAGTTGATGATCGAGTGCCGGCTCTTTTAACAGCAGCATTTAAGAGAGATGTGGGAATTAGGAAGCAGAAAGTAAATGGTTGGGTGGAGGCAAGGCCTGGGCCCAGTGAGCAGGCCTCCACTATCTCTGAGTTTTCTGTAAGCTCGGGGCTTAGAAGCATCAGGGGGTACGTCAGAAGAGCAATGCTCACCGTGCGGACTCTCATGTCTCTGTTATACACCAGCCCTGGAATGAAAAAACAAGAAGGTTTTCATATCTCATGGGAGCAGGAATCACTCTGCTTCTCCTCACCTTTGGGGTCTGCCCAAGACTTTTTGAGACGGGAAGAATAGGATTAATTCAGATTTCTCCTTTTTTTGATTTCTTTTCTTTAGCTGTTTTAGGATTCGAGCACCAACCCCAGCTGCTGGGAATGGTGATCTCTGCCTCCAGGCTTAATTGATCCCATTCAAGCCGTGTAAACTTGTAGCTAGGGCACCCTGTACCCTGCAGAGCACAATGGCTGTTGGCACAGCTCCCTTCCCGCACCCAACGTTGGCCCAGCACCGTGATGAGCCCTGTCTCCATGCAGCCCCTTACCAGCGGGTGTCTCAGTTGCTCCTCGCCGCAGTAGAATTGCCCCACCCTCTGCTGTCAGATGTCCGTTTGCTTCTAAGAGCCTGGGGGAGACATGGCAGAGAGATGGTGCTACTGGAAAAGGCAGGAAGCGAAGCGAAAATGGCATGACAAGGTGACAGCTCTCGGGCTGCTTCAGTAAAGAGCAGGAAGCAGCAGCAGCTTCTGGCAGCAGAAGCAAAAGGTCTTGCTGAGATTCCAGAGGAGGACTTGAAAGGGGAAGTGTAGGGACAGTTTCCCTTTCTTGTTCATGCGGCTGTAACTCTGTCCAAGGTGAGGGCAGGCAGCAAATGGAGAGGATAGATGGGAACCCACCTCTGCAATGCTGCTTCAGGGCTCCATGCTTTGGCAGTTTGCGGCTTTGCCTCTAGACTCAGTAATTTGTCAATCACGATCCGTTTTGATTCCAGCCACTCCTCAGTGTCCTGAAACAAAGAGAGGTAGGGAACAGGAGTAAGCCCTCTCTTCTGAATTGTTTTACCCTGCATCAAAGGGTAGAAGAGGGCATTTCACCCCTCAGCATCCCTCCGAACTGGTACCAGTTAGGAAAATGCCCATTTCTGGGGAAAAGGGAACAGCAATTCTTAAAAGGCAAGGTAGGAACAGAAAGCTAAGCACTGCTGTAAAGAACTTAGTAACTTTTAACCCTTGCAGTCTTTTCTACCCCTTTCTACCTCACTTTGGAGTTGAGGACAACCATCCAAAAGAACAAGGGAAATCTCGTATTTCTTTGTCTTTCTGACCCTAGGCTTCTGTCCCACTTCTGCCAACCAAAGCCTCAGCATTTGGCAGCGATGATGGTAGGTTGGGAATGTAGCTTTATGTCCTACCAGGAACAGAAAAAGAAACCCACCAGTCTTGCTCCCAGGTCACCCAACAAGCTGTTGACACAAAGACAACCTCAGCAAGCAGTTGCTTGGACAGAGGTTCCAGTTCCCTTTGTCCAAGGGAACGGCCCAGACTAGTGAATTTCAGTGCTATGGGACTGCAGGATCCTGAACATTACCAAATGTCCCCCAAGGAGCACCCCAACCACGGACTTCAGTCCATGCAACAAGGAGCAGGTCTGTGCCTGCCAAAAGGAAGAGCCCTGAGACTTGTGTGACCTGCCAGGAACTGGTCACATCAGTGCTTTCTCTGAACAAATGAGGGAAAGAAAAAAAACATTATTTTTTATTTGAAAAAGGGCGGGGAAGGACATGTGAAATCTAACCTCTGGAGCTAGCAGAAATCCAACACTTTCCAGCAGGATCAGCTTGTCCACCATCTCAGGATAAAGGAAACAGAACTGAGGAGAGATGAAATAATATGAGCGAAGGAGAAAAGCTGAGCACTGAGCGATGTCTTCATCCTGCTGCACTGGAGAGGGGAGGTCACGGAAGGGCATCTCCTCCCCTGAGATCTAAGTCCACACAGTCTGTCCCTTCATTTCTCTCCCATTTGTTGTCCCAGCTGCAGAAATCACAAACCCCATGAAGAAAGGATGCTTTACTCACCATTGCTGCCACAGACCCACCTGCAAAGGGAATAAGGGTGCTCAGTTATGCATAGGATGCCCTCTGGTAACAGAAACTCCCCCACAGCAGGAGCTGCCTTAGAAGCAGAAATGCACGTTGTACCAAGGCACAAAGCCCCAGCAACAGAAGAGAGCTCTCCCAGCAGGCAGAGAGCAAGGCTACTGGCCAGCTGGGCTCCCCATCCTGTCCCCATCTCCCTTTCAGACAGCAAAGGCCAGGGAGGAGCTACTAGTGAGAACAGTATGGTGTGCAGGTACTGTGAGCTGTGGCCAGAGCAGCCCTGGAGAGCAAAATGCAAACCCTGGCAAAACCCAGTCACATCCCAAGCACAAAGGGGTAAGAGCCTGGAGTCCGGTTCCACTCTGCAAGCTCCATGACCCACCAAGGAGGGCTCTGCTGTTGCCAGGCTTTGTGTGGACCAGGCAGGAAGGCCTGCTGCGAATTCTCCTCCCATAGACCACCCCTCTTCGCCCATCACTGTTCCCTCCTGGGGGTGGGGGAAAAGCCCACAGCAAGAGTTACCACTGTTGTACTACAGGGTCTTCAAAGCAGAGGCATTTCAAACACCAACACAGGTTTTTTTAATCACTCAAGCAGGAACCTGGTACTTGACACAATGTAACAAATACGCCAACCCCGGCTCCCAGCAGCATGTCTTGCAAGTTAATTATCTACTCCTATTTCCACGAATCTCGCAGTTTACCAGGACAAGAGCCACTTACCCATACTGTGACCCATCAGGGTGAACCGTCTCCATTGCAAGGCTAAGTGGCAACAGACAAAAACAGACAGTGCTGCATTAGAAACCACAGCAGCGGCATCTTGCTGCTTCTCCACCAACACAGGCCCCTTCTCCAGGGAGGGCTTTCGCACTGCTTAATTTCCTTCCTAATCCAGAAATGAGGTAGCTAAGTAGCCCAGTTTTAAAGAAGAAGAGCATCAACCACCTAATTTCCTTGGTAGTTAAGTCATGCAGCTCTGAAGCGCTCTCTGTATGGCAAACAAACTACAGCAGATTCCCATTCACTGCCAGACACGAGACTGGCAGTAAGCAGAGGAGCCTGACTGGGCAGCATCTGCTGGAAGAGAGAGATCTTGACAGAGCATCCTGCTGCAGGGCATTGCACAAGAGCCGTGAGGACACAAAGCCAGGTACGCTGCCTTGTGTGATTATTCCAAGTGAAAGCTCTCTGCACCATTTAGCATAGCAGGCTCTTCAGTCCATTTTTAGGGTACTCCGAGAGGCTTATGGGAAAATACTGCTTCATCGGTGCTGCCCATCTGAAATATACCTCACTGAAAGATGTGTTTTACCTTCTGGCATGTCAAAGAACTTCTAGAGGCTCTTTGTACACTGAATGAGGGAAGCAAAACTGCGCATGCCCCAAGATCAGCATACAGATGGGCAGTTAGATCGGGAGTTATTAGGAGCCCAAGACACCTTGGCTTTCAGATTTCCGTGTATGACAACTAGGGCAAGCAGCAAGCTGTCATCGGAGAAAACTAGAAGAGTCTCCAACTTACATCTAATACTGGTTAGAGGTCACTGGCTGCTTACAGAAGGTCAGTCCAGCAGAACTATTTAGTTGCATCCACCACTTCGCCACTACTGCTTTTTAGTATAGAAACACTTGCTTCCCAGGGCTTACTGTTTCTTCTGCTCACAAAACAGTGAGCAACAGGGATGCTTATTCAGCCTGTGGTCACAAAGCACCAGCTAACATCAGGCTGGGGAGCAGCAGAGGGAACTGACCCCTCTCCTGGCAGTAAATAATGCCTGCTTGTTCCAAAGGAGCAGGAGCAATATAGCAACCCCTGCACAAACATCCCCTCAAGGGTCCCTTCAGCTACCCACCTGCTGCCACCCGGCGCACGTCGCTCACGTAATCCAGAAAATGGTAGTGGGAGCCTGCAGGTCGGTGGGATGACAAGCCATGGCCAGGAAAATCCATTGCCACGTAATAGCAATCTGCAAGGGAGAGAGTATCGGATGCGCAGCCCTGCAACTCAACGAGAACCATCTTGATGAGCCAGACCTACCTCTGGGGAGCAGTGGAATGAGCTTTTCAAAAGTGTTGGCATTGTCAAGCCAGCCGTGCAAGCACAGCACGAGGTGTCCCTCCGAAGGTCCCCAGGCCTTGGCTGCCACGTGGCCCCAGGGCACAGGGAACTTCAACTCTGAGAACATGCCCAAAACAGAGCGCTCGCAAGTGATGTCCCTGGAGAGCCACGTGCTCGGAGTATGTCCCAGGGATCTTGTTAATGGCCCAGAGCTCTGAAAAAAGTAATACAGGTCTTTAGTAACTCACCAGCCTCCTGTGGTCTTAATTAGCAGCTTGCTGATTTATAGCTCCCCATTCAGCATCCCCAGCTGCCATCTCTGCCTGCAGGTTTGGGGAATCCTCCTCCCAGCACGTACTAGCGATGCTCCTAGGAAGAAACAAGCTTTCCCTTTTTTTTTCCTACACAGGAGGAGAAAGCCTCCTCTCTGTGTCTCCACAGCAGCTGCAAAACAACCAGAAGGCGCATGAGATCTGGCAAGAGGGAACCACGCAGAAATCCCCCAGCTAGCTGCTGTCAGACAGGCACCTGTCCCGGACCAACAAACCACTTTTTTCGGGAATAAGGATGCCGCCTCCAGTAGCAGACTGTTACCACCTTCTCCTGTTCTACCTTGGTGCTTCTCCTCTTTCACACCACCAGTTGGCACCTTCGAGGGAGCAGCTGGCAACATGCCACACAGCAGGTGGCTGCTGCTGCCACCCTCCCGTGCACCCCTCAGGGCCAGGGACCCTGCCCGGCATGTGGGTCTGCAGCCTGCCAGGTGCCCGCTCGACCTCAAACCCGCCTCACCACTGCCCATCTGCCTGGCAATCGCTGAGGTACGTCTGACCCTCGCTCAGCCCCAGGCTCCTGAGTGAACCCCCCAGCACGACCCACCCTCCGGGGGTCTTCCAGGGGTGGTCTGAATACCTCCCCTTCACCCCCAAGCCCTTCTGATCCCCGCGGGCAGCTGGGCTAGCCCCATCCCCAAGTCCCTCACGCCGCGTCCACTTCCCAGCGACTCGCCT